CTTGAATTACCAATCATATGACTTGTTTGATAGCCATCCACCATACCACTACAAATACAGCTAGTCGCGAGAATAAAGACAAATATCCCCTAATTTAGAAGATGACATTTAAAACATGGTTTAAAGGTTTCTTTCAGAAATCCTTAAAACATAGAGCTTTAAGGATGCTTTTTTCTTTGCAAGAATGGGAAAATGACCAAAGTAAACACAAAGTGTAAAGTGATTTTTCCAAAGCACAATAATTCTGAAAATGCCCGTATTGCTTCATGACTATTCAGCATTTATTATAAATGAAAATCTATTAGGAAGAAACTGCACATTAAACCCTAGTGTAGCTTAGCTCTTTGTGCTACATTTCAAAAGGACTTGCTCTCTATCATCAAAACTATAATTTTGTGTTTCTCCAAGTAAATACCCAATCCAATGGAAATTTCTTTGTGAAAGGAAATGATCACTGAACAAAACATTCAAAGCTTTCCACCATTATATCTTTTGTCTTTCCCCTTGTTGACCTCAATCCTGAATGGACGGTTTACTTTTGATATCTGTGGATGACCTTACTAAAACGTGTTTTCAAGCCCAAGTTCCTTAATACTATAAAATCACATATAGATCCTCTGACATCTAACAAGTCACTTCTGCCTGACAGTAGTTCCAGACACATTTATTACACAGACAGTAAAGTTCAGCCCTGTGCTAGGTCAGGCAGAATGCATGAAAAGATCACAGAACCGGTAAGGGGACATGCAAACAATTTCAGCAACGTAAAAAGAACCATAATAGAGAAACACATAAGTTGTTTCATGAGCAGAGCAAATAACAACCTCTGCCTGGGAAGGTTCATAGATTGACTCTTCTCTTAAAAAATAGTGTACCCAATTCATTTCTTTTACAGCTTAGCACTGTTTCATTATGGTCTTCATTTTTCTGGATAGAAGAAGATTGTTCACCGGTCAACAAAACACCTACCCTGAGCAGAAACCCCCGATAAGCGTACCTTGTGGCTTTGGATATGCAGCTGTGTGTTTCGCAGGCGTTTTCCCATTTATTCCCTGAGCCTCTTCATCAGATTCATTCCGATCAATCAGCGTAGTTGTGCTGTTTGTCGAACAAAGTGGAACTATAGTGATCTTTGGACAGAAACTGCTGCCTGTGAGAGTTCAGAAAGAAAGGGCAGGTAAATACAGAGGCAAAGCACAACTCTGTCTTGTAAGTTAAATTTCTCCTAATCCCATAAAACAAAAACAGTCATAGTAACAAGACCAGGCACAGAAATATTTTCCCCATGTGTGCTGGCCTTGACAAAGAGTTTTACTGGGAAAGATCTCATTCCACGTGCTTTAGAGATCTTATAACACATGCTGACAGAAGACTGCTACACACACACTCTTCGGAAAGGGCAGAATGCAGCTGCTATGATGCAGACAAGGAAGAGGACTGGAGGGCCCCAGCACTAAGCCATTAAAAGCGTTCCTTTGCAGTGTTCAGTCAGTCACCAGTCATCAAGCAACTCCAAGTGAACAAAGCAGGAAAGAACCAACATGACAGCTGACCTAAAGACTCTAGAAGAATGGTTAGATTAGAAATGAATAAATACAGGCATGCACACACACAAAACCTCTCACCCACCAGCTTACTCAGGCTCCACATCAACATCCGTGACACAAGCTAATACTGACGCATGTTTTCCAAAGAAATGGTGAGATGATACAGATATCAACGCCATGTTCATTTAGAATTCAAAACTCAAAATGTCCTATAAAGGGCCGGCCCGGTGGCATGCTGCTGCGGTGTGCCGCTTGAGAGTGCGGCGGTGCTCCCGCCGAGGGTTCAGATCCCACATGCAGACCGGCCGCTCACTGGCTGAGCGAGGTGCGGACGCGACACCGAGGGTTGTGATCCCGTTGCCGGTCCCGGTCCGGTACGGGCGCGACACTGAGGGTTGCGATCCGTTGCCGGTCACGAAAAAAAAGACAAAAGGGAAAAAAAAAAAAGTCCTATAAAACAACACTGAGGGCCGACCCCATGGCTCACTCGGGAGAGTGCGGCGCTGGGAGCACCGAGGCCGCGGGTTCGGGTCCTATATAGGAGGGATGGCTGGTGTGCTCACTGGCTGAGCGCGGTGCGGAAGACGCCAAGCCAAGGGTTCTGGTCCCCTTGCCGGTCACACACAAAAAATAATAAAATAAAAGAACAACACTGAAATACATCATGAGACATAGAAGAAGGGGAAAAGATGTTATATATGTTGAATTTCAGAGACTTTTTAAAAAAGTCATGTCAGTGTTTTCTCTATATACACATGTTAAATTTCCCTCTCTTCTGGTTGACATGGTGATATTAACAATAGATTGAACTCTGCTTGAGAGAAAATAAAATTTCTACCAAGAAATTCACTATAACTGAATCGAAGTATACAATTTAAGAAACTATCATTTGGTTAAGAAACAAAGAGTTTCATCTTTATAGAATCCAAATATCTAAAAAGAGAACTATTAGAGATTATTCAAAACAAGATAAACTATTAAAAAATCAACTTTCTATTAAGCCAAAAATTTTGCTTTTAATCCAAATGATTATTAAATAATATTGATTGAAAACTTTGATACTGCTTTAGTTTATGTGCTCCCCTTAAAATTTATCTCGGTAAAACAGATTTTATTTGATAGAATACTATTAAAATTGTAAATAGAAAAATAAAAGTTTAAATCTTTAAATGTGTGAGCTATTTACCTCCTTAAAAAAATGGTGTGAAGTAGGCAAAGTATAACCCTAAAACCCCACAGCATATCATCAACCACTTAGCCTTTTAGAAGGGTTTGGATGTTTTTTTCTACAGTGATCCCAAGAATGGCTTAGTATCCTAAAGGCCACCTGGTGGAGTCTAGTGAAGGACAGCTTCGGGGCAGAAACAGTGAAAAGTCAAAACTCAACTATAAATCAGCCGAAGAAACTGTAACATTACCATAAAATGAGACCCTGCCAAAGCAAAAATGTAACTTTAGCATCAATTTACAAGAGCAAGCAGCAACAAAAGTATTTTTTAAAAAGTGCAGTTAATGGGTTAAATGAGAAAACAAATTAGTCTTTAAAAAATAGATCGCCACTGTTACATATTAAAATATGAAACAAGTTCAATAGTCTGTTTTTATTTTTTATTGAAACATAATTGATTGTACATATCTGTGGGGTACAGCGTTGGATAGCAACACCTGTGTGCAATATGTGCTACTCAAATCAGGGTAATTACTATATTTATTGTTATACAAGGTAATCATTTTTTGTGGCCCTTTACCAATTTCTCACTATTTAGCAACAAAATATATCTTACAAAAATATTAATTTGAAATTGAAAAATTTTTAGGCATATAATTTCTGGATAGCAAATTTTCTGGGTATGATGGGTTTTACAAGTGTCATATTTATAGGGAGTGCCTCCCATAGATGTGTCAAAATGCCTGCAAAAAGAGATCAACTATACATCCATTTCCCCATAATTCATTAAAGTCATGATTACAGATCTTTTGCCCATGGCAATAAATCCAAAGCCAGAAACTTTATTTCAGATCACTGTTTAAAACAAGTCTCCAAACTTCAGCTACTATCACAAAACATGAAAACATGGTGAAGGACACAGAGAACACTTACATTTTTTTAAAGGTTGTTTTTTAAAAAAAAAAGAAAAGAAAAAAAGCAATGACAAACAAGCAACAGAGACCATATGTGGCTACAAGGCCAAAAATATTTACTATCTGGTCCTTTACAGGAAAAGTTTGCTGACCACCATGAAGGTCAAACATATCACAGTAAAGGATGTTTACCTAAAAGAAGCACCATTTCATTAAATACTTCATCTGCTAACATCTTGGATACTGGCAATAAAAAGTAAAACTTTTTGCTTGTTTATGACTGACTCAGCCTACTCACATTTAGGGACAGTCCTTATTTGGGTGCCAGTTGCATAACAGGAAATTGAAACCAAAATTATAACCAGATGGTCTACCCATTCAAGAAATTTTACATTAACTATAGGGGCTTCTTAGATTCCAAATTACCAAGAACCAGTAGGAGTGATTTATAATTAAACAGTTATCTTGGGCACGGATATAATTAATTACAGTATGTTAGTTGGCATGGGGAACAGAGAGTTATCTATTTAAATATTAGCTCCTCCTGAAGACTGGTAATCTTTTTAGCCACTAGTCCTAACCCACTCTGCACTGTCTTTGGGTTACTCACCTTCTGTAGGAATGTCTATACGCTAATCTCAGATATTCCCAATTAATCCAGAACTAATTAATTTCATCTTTGACTACATATGGCTCCCTGTTCAAACTAAAGAGGTTGCCACTATGGCTTAATTTTCAATTTATCTGGATTTTTTTGCATTTCAATAGTCATGCATTATGTTATACTTTTGAGTGGCAGATATTCCCTGACTGGTTAGGGTGAGTTTTGACCACTATCTGCAAAACTCTCTGTTGTGCTGTTAAGTTTTACCAAATCATTCTTATTGGGAAATGGCTCTTTCACATTTTATTTAGACTTTCTCTTTGGCCACCCACTCCAAAGGAAAGTGCACTCAGTTCTCTGGTTGTTCAGGCCTGACCTCTCGCCACAGTGTCCATAACCTCTGGATCTTCGTGGTCTTGCTTATGGCCATAGTTACACTGCCTCATCATCTACAGCTTCTCTCTTAACTGCACCAAGTCTCTAGCCCACAAGATCTCGATGGACTTCACCCTCAGGACAAGAGATCTCTTGGATTTAAAACAGCAGAAGTGTTTTCCTAGGGGAGACAGTCTTTTTAAGAGCTAATTGTCCAGAAGTACAGAGAACTTTAAAAAAACAAAAACCACTTTATTTTGAAATAATGTTGGATTTACAAGGGAGTTGTATTTAGGTTCCCCTAATACTATATCTTATATAACTATGGTGTATTTATCAAAACATTGGTACAACACAAAACTAAGGATTTTATTCAGATTTCACCAATTTCTCCATTAATATCCCTTTTCTGTTATAGGACCCAATCTAGGATATCACTTTGCATTCCACTCCTATTGTCTCCTTAGTGGACTCCAGAATGTGAGAGTTTCCTTAGACCTTACTTGTCTTGCATGATGGGCAATTTCGAAGAATGTTAGGTATTTTGTAGAATAACTCTCAAATTGGGTTTCTCTGATGTTTTGTCATGTTTGACTGGGCTTATGGGTTTGGGGGAGGAAGGCCACAGAGGCCATGTGCCCATCTCACTTCATTATATCATTGCATGATCACCATGATTATCATGGGATGTTAACCTTGGTCAGTTGGTAGGGTGGTATTTACCAGGTTTCTCCACTGTAAAAGATCGTATTTACTATGAGACATTTTTCAACAGTTTTTTCCTGTGATCTCTTAAAAATACTCCCCCATTTATCTCATGGATTGCAGATAAGGGTCATATCTTCCATGCGCTATCTTATACTTGGATTAAGAGATCAATTGCATTTTTAAAAAATAAAGCCATGAAGGTTATAAAATTCATGGTTGACAATTCTCTTGAAAAGGGGAACAAATCTATAGCCAGGAAATTTATTTCACAGCATTATTTCAAACTATTCCCCAAACTTTGAGAGCTGAGTAATAAATTTTCCAGGAGATTAATAATCAAATCACAGAGGATTTTAGAAAAGAAAATCTGATGGAGAATTTTAAAAAGTTCCTTGGACCTAGGAATTGCACTTCTAGGAATCTAATCTACAGAAATAGTTCTGTGTGTGTAAAGGTGTGTAACTGGAGAGTCAATACAAAAACTATGGAACGTAGGCAGCAGACTGGAAAGATCTCCAAGACATTGTTAAATAAAAGATAAAATACTGTAGAACAGTATGTATATAGTATGATTTCGTTAAAAAAAGATATATACAGAGGTATATAAATATATTGAAAGGGATGGAAGGTAACACAGCAAACTTAACTTCGGGAACTGGGGATGGGGGTAAGGTGAGAAAATGGATAAGAATTTTCATGTTTTGCTGTTTATACAGCTATATCACTTACATCTTTTA